AAAGCTGAGATCTGAGAATCAATTCGAAGACAATTTTGGCAGACAAATCTTTGAGACATTTATCTCAACTACCCAGCAAAAGAAAAACAAAAGTGGATATGGAGCTAAATTGGTAGAGTGCCAGCTATGAGGAAAAAAAAAGCTAAACTGGCCCTGAGTTCCAGTATACACACACACACACACACATACTCTCTCTCTCTCTAAAAACATAGTGAATTAGCAATTGGTAAGTCTAACATGTCTAAGAATGTTCTAGACTGTTTACATTTCATTCTTAAAATAGGCCTGGTGCATCCTAGCTATTTGGGAGGCAGTAATTGGGAGTCATGGTTCAAGGTCATCTCAGGCAGAAAAGTTCCCAAGACTCCTCACTCAATGAAAGGATCCATCACATCCATCCCAGGGGACCAGGTGGAGGCAGGCAAGCACAGGAGAAAGATTATTACAAGGTTTATTAGAGAAGCCGTATTTCCCTCAGAGAGGGAGCACATAGCACCCTCCACAATCTAGGTAGCAGCAAGTCTGGGGGTAGGAAGTGAGGTAGACTGAAGCTCAGGTGGGTCTAGGCAGAGAGAGGGAAGGGCCAGCTATATGGCGGGAACTCCAGGGCTGGGAGAAGCTCAGGTCTGTATGGAGCTGAGGACCAAAGGTGGGCATAATGCTTACACTCAATAGCTGGGCAAAGTGGTACATACCTATTAATCTAGCTACAGAGGAAACAGTGACTGGGCACAGGACCTATCATCTACAGCTACCTAGGTTAGAACAAGTATTAGGACTACAGACCAACCAGAGCAAGCATAAGAAATCCTACCTCATAAAAACAGTCAAGGCAGCTGGGTTCTTGGTGGCCTATAATCCTAGCTATTCAGGAAGTTCATAGCCAGCTGAAGCAGGAAAGTTCATGGGACTCTTATCTCCAATAAACTTCTAAAAAGCCATTAGTGGAACTGTGGCTCAAGTGCTGGAGCATTAGCCTTGAGCAAAAAACTTCAGCTACAGTGCCTAGTCCTTAAGTTCAAGCTCTAGGACTGGCACAAAAAGACAAAAACAAAACAGCCAAGGCAAAATCATGTCAGAGGTATGACTCAAGTAGTAGTAGACTTTGCAAATACAGGGCCTTGAATTCAATCCCCAGTAACAAAAAGAAAATTTTTTTGGTCAGTTGTGGGGCTTGAACTGTGTCCCTGAGCTCTTCAGCTCAAGGCGAGCGCTCTACCACTTGAGCCACAGCACCACTTATGGTTTTCAAGTGGTTTATTGGAGCTAAGAGTCTCAGGGACTTTCCTGTCCAGGCTGGCTTTGAACCGTGATCCTCAGATCTCAGCCTCCTGAATAGCTAGGATTACAGGCAGCTCAAAAAAATTTTTTTAAATAAACTTAAAATAGAAAATAATAGATTTTGAATTTTTGCTATAGTCAATACCAAAAAAACCTAGCAAATAAATGAATTAGCTATGAATGGGAAAGAAAAGTTATCAAAAAGTTATAAAAATTCAAAGTCTTGGCATCTAGGGATCTAGTTTCTAGCCTATAGGAAGATAGAAAAAATGCACAGACTAACATTCTTTCCTTTTCCAAAAATGGTAGAATGGTGCCAAGAAAACTCAAACTTAACTCTGACTCTACCTTTATAAACAAGTCACTTAACCTCTCTAGGTCATGGTGACAAACAGGGCACAATGAATGGTCTTTTTCAATATCAGTATTCTGTATGAACAGTGATGAGGAAAAAGTCCAAAGACATGCAAATGCAAGACATGCCCAGATAATCCAAGCACCCAAATATTCTTAGGGCCTGGATCCTCCTTCCATATGCTGGTCCTTTTATCACACAAGATTGGCACAAATACTGTTCCCCTTTCATGAGACTGGCTAGCAGATAATGTCAACAGCGAACATATTCAGCTTGTGGTATATCCTAACATATTAGTTGGTACTCTTTTTGTTTCAATTTTCTTCTCATTCTAATCATATTTTCACAAAATACTATAAGAGGAGACAACATATGTCCAACTTCTTTATGATTTGAGAGGAACAGATAATTTTTCATATCATATTATACTCAGGATACAGGTTTCTCCACAAATCTGGCTAGGTCATTCTGAAAATCAGTTTTGAAAAACAATCTTTTCAGCAACTTGCAAGGGGATTACCATAAGTAAACAAACAAACAAAATCCTCCTTCCTGTGCTTCAGGGCCTCACGCTCTTGCTTAGCTTCCTACATCCCCCAAGGCTGGCACTCTACCACTTGAGCCAAATCTCCCCCTCTGGCTTTTTGCTAGTTAATTGCAATAAGACACGTTTGTATTTGTCTTGTTGGACTGGCTTTAAAACTTAGTCCTCAGATATTATGCAGCCATTAGAAATGACAAAATAATGACATTTGCAGGGAAATGGATGGAGCTAGAAGGAATCATGTTGAGCGAGGTAAGCCAAGAGCAAAGAGACAAATGGTACATGGTTTCCCTGATAAGTGGATGCTAAATCCAAAATGTTAGGTGATACGACAAAACTAACAGGACTTAAGAAACAAAGAACTCCCACTCATCTGGTCAAACCACTACTAAATATCCCCATGATCACATGTATGGTGTATAACATGTGTACACCATTATATGTTATAGACTGTGATAGACAATTTGCTCCAGGAAAGTTAGAATGAACTTGTGACTTTAAATGAGCATCATTATTCCACAATACTGTGAAATTCGGGAAATTATGTAATCACTTAATCACAATCAAAAAAAAAAAAAAAGAACCTCGGGGAAGGTAGGGAGGGAAGGGATGGTAGGGGGAAAACAATGGAGGGGGTAACAATGCTCAATAGGAAGTGTACTCATTACCTTACTCATATAACTGTAACCCTCTGTATAATAGCTTTACAATAAAAAAAAGAAAAAAAAGAATTACAGTAAATATAACAGAAGAGGCAGAATTAAGGAAATAAATTATACATTGTCTCGTTCATCTTTAAGACCCTTCTAAGCTACTTGTCCTTGCCTTCCCTTGTAGCTGTCTGTTAAGCTACTTGTTACCCCTATAGGATTCCTTCACCAGCCAAAGTACACTACTTGAGCCCTGAACTTCTAGTCAACGACTCTCATTTTGATCCAATCTTTACAAGCTAATCTATATATGTTTTTAAATTACAAAGATATTTAGACATCATCTTTTATAACCCTCTCATATGTAATTGAAGCATGTGAAGACTAATTCATGATGGAGCTGGAGATAGAATCTATCATAAAGCTCTCTTCTTTGTCCAGAGACCGGATGATTGAATTTTAAAGATAATTTGCAAAGCCTATACAAAACACTCTGTTCCAGGCCAGGATAGATGTACTTCTCATACAAATTAAATCTTTCAATGCAAAAACAAAAAACAAAAAAAAAACTTAGTCCTCAGATCTCAGCCTCCTAAGTAGCTAGAGTTACAGGCATGAGCCACTGGCATCCAGCTAAGAAAAACACCTTTTTAAACTCATAGTCATGACTTTTTAGAATTGTTAAGTAGAAAGTCACTGTAGAGAAATATTTTTGAAGCCAGAAATGGGTGGCTCATATCTATAATCCTAGCTACTTGGAAAGCTGAGAATGTGGAGACCATGGTTTGAGGCCAACCCCAGCAGAAAAAAAATTCATCAGAGCCATTCTCAACTAAGATCTAGACTTAGTAGCAGTGTGCCTGCTATCCTAGCTACTGAGAATGAACGAAAATCATGGCTGGAAGTATAATTCAGTGGTAAAAAATGCCTGCTTAGCAAGTGTAAGGCCATGAATTCAAAGGCCTAGCACTGCCAAACACAAAAATAATGAAATAAAGTATTTGTGTGTGTGTGTGTGTGTGTGTGTGTGTACGCGCGCATACGCGCGTGTAAATACGTATCTCTTTTGTTTGGTTTGGTGGTTTTTAAAGTTTAATTTTATTGTAAAAGTTAAGTATTTTTTAAGATACTTCTTAATTTACTTCTTTTGGAGGGGTTACAAAAATATATATCTAGACTAATAATCTACATGACATTAAACAAATTCCTTCTCTATAACTACTATTCGTTCTTTTGCATTTGGTACAATTTTGGAGTTTTAAATAGGACCTTTTTTTTTTTTACTGAATTATGAAATTAAGTCTTCAAGTTTCATTTTGAACCTTGTAGGGCTGAATATTTGCTAGCAAGTCTTCCATAACTATAAAATTAATGCTAAAAACATGAGTATGAATACTAACTTGAAGGCATAATTAGATTGACTTCAAACCTCATGAGTATACGAACTGTTTTATTTCTTTTTTAAACCTGAGACATGGTGATTAAATGAAGTAAGTTCAAAGAACATCTGACTTTAGTTTTCATTCTGTCATTGTGAGATGTTTCAACTTCAATATAAATGCTCTAACTTCTTAATGCTCATAATTTTTACAGGAAAAAAAAAAAACATGGTGTTACATTTAGAAGTTCTAATGTTTATCACCATCTGATGCTGTCATGGAAGCAATTGCTACTTACACTCTTTTAAGAAGTGAGAATTGCAATTCCTCTAACTGATGACAATGTAATTATTCCTTTTACTGTCAAAACAGAGGTGATTTCCTTTCCTCACACACATGATTACATATGCAAATCCGAGCTTATCTACAATCTTCTGAGTGTACTGTTTGAATCTGAATGAGCAGATCACATGATCGGTGCAGCTTAGTGAGGAAGTCAAGTCTACAGCCATCCACCCCAAACATTTGTATCATCCCTTCTTCTGCAGGAACTCATTCTCCAGCTTCCAGAGCTTTCAACACAATGTCATGTCTTCTACAACATACAGCAACAACCATTACAAAAATAACTAGGAGAGAAAAAGCCACAGCAAATCTGAATGTCTTATTTGGAGGATTAAATGTTTTCATTAACTATTCATTAAAGCATATATCAGCCTTTAGAAAAACAGGAGCTTTCAACAAGGTCTGGGCCATGCTGTGAATACCCACATGGGTAAGTGATACCCTACCTGGTCCTTCAGCTGCTGTATAGAAGTCTGAAGATTCAGAATCTGGCTGAAGAGTGGACTCTGCAGAACTGACTTCAGAAGGCTCAGTTTTTCTTCATTTGCTACATCCCCACGTTCTCGTAGCTTGGCTTGCAAGCGCTCTGCTGCCTGCAGGGCTCGGTTTTTGTCTATTCCAAAGAGCAGCACTAATCAATTACACATTCAAGTCAAAAGATACATGTTAAACCTATGGATACTCTTAACACTATTCATCTGGACTGTACAAAATAGTCTTTTTTTACTATGTACAAAGTGGGTCTAAAGTACAAAATATTTTAATGCAGTACAAAATACAAAAACACTTTTTAATACTTTATTTTTTCTTCAAAATTAAATTGCATATTTGCATATACTTCATATCAATACAAATAAGGGGAGAATAAACATGCTGTTCTAACTATGTCCTTCAAACCTTCAAGTCTCTTATAGAAAAACGTATGTGAAAGCAGGACACTGAGCACATCATATGTTACATGCAACTGTAAGGCCATAGAAACTTATTCACATGACAGATACTTGAATTCCAATGTCAGCTGCTTTATAAAAATACATAAAACTAAATAATCTGTGATCTCAGAAATGTGGATATTTTCCTTTAAAAAAAGATATGTCAAATTTTATCTAAACAAAGAAAAATTAGTAACATAATTAACTCACTAATAGGTAGATATGGATAACATCACCAATGAATGACAACATCTAAAATATAATGATATCATACAGGAGGGAGCAAAGCATCCTAAAATAGAAAATGAAAATGTGGTATATATAGACAATGGAATTCTATACGTCCATCAGAAAGAATGACATCACCCCATTTGTTATGAAATGGAAAGACTTGGAAAAAATTATATTAAGTGAAGTAAGCCAGGCCCAAAGCAACATAGGTCCCATGGTTTCCCTTATTTGCAATAACTAGTATATATCTGACTCAAGCAGAAAAGGTCAGATAAGTTGATGTTAGGGGAATGAACCCCAATATAAGTATTCAAATGTTTGTTTTTTTTCCTTTCATGCAATTGTTTCTCACATATTTATAAAATGATTTCTATGATGCTTTGGATGTCCCTCCCCCACAGTATAACCCATGCTTTCACTGTATTTGATGTTGGTATAATTTGTGGAGAGGAAGGGAAAAAAACAAATCGTTTAACTAGGGATACAGGTGGACCCATTGCAACAATGAGGTGTACAAGTCGTTATGGCGAAAAACGAACTTAACAACTTTGGTGAGGGGTGGGGGGAGGATAGGGTGGGAAGAGGAGAGGAGTATGGGAAGGGATGGGAGGGGGAAACAAAGAGGAGGCAACAATGCTTGATAAGAAATGTACTCGTTATCTTGCCCATGTAATTGTAACTCCTCTGTACGGTATTTTTACAATAAAAATAATAATAATTAGCAAGGAAAAAAAAGAAAATGTATTAAGAAGCATTACATAAATCAGTCTTTTAGAGACACTTCTTCTGAAAAGAGAAAAGAGGAAAGAGGGTAATTGAGGGATACATGTGATTAAAATATGCCCTATGCAAGTATGGTAGTGTCGAGATGAAATACACCACTTTGAACAATTAATATACAGTAATTAAAATATTTAAAAACTACTTAAAACTAGAAATGCCTTCCCCCAAAATTAAATCACATATTTACATATGCTTCAAACCAATTCAACTAAGTTTTAAGCACCTTATGAGTCAGGTACAACGTTATAGAAAGTGTTTTTAATCAATATATTTCAATGGTCCTAATGTCATACATGCATGCTTCTATTTAACTTCCTGCACAGGCTCATGCCTAGAATGCAGTTCACCTATTTGTGGCTTTGAATCATTTGACAGGTTGGTACCACTGCACACTGCTTCTCTCTGTGGAGATAGAACCTATTAGGCTATCTGTAAGGACTATCCTAGAATTATATTCTTCCCGATCTTAGCCTCCCACATAGCTTCAGATGACATGAATGCACTACTGCTAACCTAGCAGTAGTGGGTTAAGAAAGGGTCACACAGACTTTTCTGCCCAGACCAGCCTCCAGTCAGAGCATCCTGAGTAGCTAGGGTTACAAGTATAAGCTTTTGTTTGGTTTTGTTCTATGGAGAGTATTGAGATATATATGCCCAATGCATTCATGATAATGAGTACATCTAATAAAATATATTTGCCATATAATGGTAATCAACAAGTGACAATTATTACCAGAGATAATTTCTATAGCACCCAATACCCAATTATACAGAAATACGGTAATTGAAATGACAACTGATCTTGATCCTGAGTTCACTTACATAAGCAGATTAAAATGAGCCATATTTACTCATGCAGAATTTTTATCCTAAAGATACATATGATAGTATTATTCTGGGCCATATATCCATGGTAACTGAGTATTACTCATTTTCATACCAATTCTTAGAAGGTGTGCAAGCAACTTGGTAATGGCTAACAGAATAAAGCTTTAAGAATCAGTGATTTATGTAATTTTACACTTTTCTTTCCTTTCCACTTTCTAATGAGGAACTTTCCTATATAGATTGGTAGTCTTTATAGTATATGACTTCAATTTAAAATGAGTAATGGAGGAAAAGTGCATCCAAGCATTTCAATGATCAGAATAAAACTGGGAACAAAAACTCACATTATCACCAAAATAGCACTTTTTCCATTTATTGCCACCAACTTTCCCTCTACACCTCACAGTCTGCAGCTGTTAAGAAACCAGCCTGAATCATTTATGTGCCAGAGTGACATGCAGATACTTTCCAATGGTCATACTCAAACAGTATGAGTAGAGGCAAGGTGTCCAACAGTTACAGGTACGTACCACACCTGACATACCTGTAAATGGCTCTATAAAGTAATGTTTCTAAAGCTCAAAAATAGTGGGATAAAAGATGAGCCCATGAAACTGCATGAAAAGTTTGTTGGTAGGTTTGTTATTACTCTTTTTATCTAATAAAAGCAAGAAGTCAGTAGTATCTCACCAACACAACTACAAGAACTGTGGCCTTTTCTCAGGATTAAAACTACTAAAGCACTGTTAAGCACTGGAGCTCACGCCTGTAATCCTAGCTACACAGGAGACTGAGATCTGGGGATTACAATTCAATTTGAAGCCAGCCAAGGCCGGAAAATCCATGACATTGTTTTCCCCAATAAGCTACTCAAAGCCAGACGTGGCACAGAGGCTCAAATGGTAGCCTTAAGCAAAAAACGACTCTCAGGAATGGCACCCAGGCCATCATGATTCAAGCCCAAGGCCCAACATACACACACACAGACACACAGACACACACAGACACATAGACACACACACAAAGACACACTGACACACATGACACGGAACTTTTAACTTTCTGGGGCCATCCAGAAAGAAACAACCAAAGCTGGTTCATTAATTAGAATTGGGCTTATATTAAACCCCATGATTAATAAAATAGCTCATACTTACTTTTGCTTACAGTGATTTGTTTTTATAACACTTCAAATGAAATTGTCCAAATACAGAGATGGTAAAATGTTAGTAGATAAAAATTTTTAAATCTAAGTTACTATAGATAGAATCTTCCATGGAAATCTTATCATATTTAAAGATGTCCAATAAAAAAAGAATAGTCTTACCTACGGTTTCCAACATATTTTTCAAAGTTCAATGTTCTTCTATAATGATTAAAACAGTGACTGAAACAAAACGCTGGGAAGAAAAGAAATGAAATGGAATGATTACATTTTATTCTAAAACTCAATACCTTTTACCATTATAATCCTGATTTAACTTAATATAGTTCTCTTTATGGACAAAAATAATCACTTTAAAATTCATTCAAAATCATATTGTCATTCCTACAACACTTGGATAAGGAGAAAAGCAAAATTTCTGTTCTAAAAAAGATGGCAGAAACATTTCCTAAGGATCTTCTTAGCACAGACCACTGTGCTCCTGAAATAATATATATAGTTCCTTAACAGAGAATATAGAGTGTACTTGAGTCTATATAAGAAATTCTGTGGGCAAAGATGTAAAAAAATACATTGTATTCTTGACCCCAAATGACCAGTCTTAAGTGGGAAGCCAACAGACATATATTACTTAGAAATGAAGCAAGCCTCCAAAGCATAACTATGAACCTCTATAATGTCTAAGTCCTGGGCTAATAAATGAATAAAAGAGAACACAGTGTTAATTTTTTCAATTTTCAAAATACCTTTTTAACTGTAATGTTCTCCTCATTCCCATTCAAAAACACTCTTAATTTCAACCTATACATACCTTTCTCTAAGCTTAGTGCTTAACTAGTCTCCTAAGTACAGAGATCTGCACTACTAATGTCCATACACTGAGCATTTCTGTTTGATGTGAACATTATTCTGCACAACAGTCTCCATCGATGCATCTATCCTTTGCCTCACAGAAAAGCCCCAGTCATTAGGAAGTCAGTCAATTATTCTTCCAGTAAAGAAAAGGCATCTACCAACATACATTCTCATTCTTCAACTTGAAAATGATAAGGCCATTTCTCTGAGAAAGTAAGTTGGTCTCTGTTACCTTTTTGTGGTAAGAAAAGGAAAAAAAAGAAATATATGATAGAGATGATGATGAGCACAGCACATCATGCCAGCAAGTTTTGCTTTGGGTAAAAAGAGAGAACAACAATTACTGGCTTTCCTTATCCCAATTTAGAACACACCACTAAAAATACCAGCTTCACTGCAAAAAGGAAAATAACTCAACTACTAACACTTTTTTGGGGGGGAGGGTCTGGTCGTAGGGCCTGAACTCTGGGCCTGGGCGCTGTCCCTCAGCTCTTCAGCTCAAAGCTAGCGCTCTACCACTTGAGCCATACCACCACTTCTGGATTTTTTTTTTTGCTTAGTGGTACTGAGGAATCGAACCCAGGGCCTCATGCATGCAAGGCAAGCGCTCTACCACTGAGCCACTTTCCCAGCCTTAACACTTATTTTTAAAAGATGCATGGTATCTAGAAAAGTTCTAACCAGGATTTGGAAGCCAGAGAACACTTAGCCCTCAGTAAGGAGACAAGAATCTCCCTCAGCTTCCTAGAACATTAACTGACTCTATGATAAATTGACTCTTGTGATAATTAAGATAACATATGGTTATTTTCAGTACATAGCGTAATATATAATTGTAAAATACATTTTCTTAATCAATGCTTAGCTTATATGGATAAGCATTGTGAGGCAAAACATAAGAGAGCTTTAAAAAATGGCAATATGTTTATTATTTACAGGGAAAACCTAATTCTCCTCCAAAAAAATAGCTTACTATTTAATACCCTCTCAAAAATATTCTTAGCTGGGTGCTGGTGGCTCACTCCCTATAATCCCAGCAACTCAGGCTCTGATTCTCTATTAACCATCAAAAAGCTGGAAGTGAAGCTGTGGCTCAAATGGAAGAGTACTCGTCTTGAGCAAAAAGCTCAGGGCCCTAAATTCAAGTTCCAGAACCCAAACCAATAAATAAATAAATACTGTAGATATAGATAGATAGATAGATAGATAGATACTGTATATAGATAGATATACTCTTAATTTTGTAACACTAACAATCAGATTTAGGGCCTCAATCACATTAGGCAAGTACTTTATCACTGAACTACATGTCCAATCCCAAAAAATATTAACTATGAAAAATTTAAAAATAAAAGTAAAGCTGGGTGCCGGTGGCTCACACCTGTAATCCTCGCTTCTCAGGAGGCTGAGATCTGAGGATCATGCTTCAAAGCCAGCCCAGGCAGGAAAGTTCATGAGACTCTTATCTCTAATTAACCACCAGAAAAACTGGAAATGGTGCCGCGGGTCAAGTGGTAGAGTACTTGCCTTGAACTGAAGAGTTCAGGGACAGCGCCCAGACCCAGAGTTCAAGCTCCATGACCAACACGCCCCCCCCACCAAAAAAAAGTAAAGATACCCTAATATAGGAAAGACAGGTCTGCTGAGGTAGCATATGAATTTTAAGGTAATGCCTACTGATACATGAACTGTTTGGGGAAGAAAGTAGAGTATGAAGCTCCCATTTGAAAAAACACAGCTGTCCAAAGGACAACCATAACTCAGTTATGAAGAAACATGCTTACCTGTTCCTTCCTCTGTTACCTGTAACCTCTCTCCAAGAAACACAAATAAGGATTTTTTTAAAGCTGATTTAGAAGTTTGTATCCAGATGACAAGGGAGGAGGCAACAATGCTTGATAAGAAATGTACTCATTACCTTGCTTACGTAACTGTAACCCCTCCTCTGTACAGTATTTTCACAATAAAAAACTTATTTTAAAAAAAGATGTTTGTACCCAGATGAAAGAAAGCATTATTACTGTGGGTTCTATTTCAGTGATTCTTAAAAATGAAAAAAAAAGCACAGCTTCATTTATTCTGCTCTAATGTCTCTAAATAAAAACATAGCTTTTGAATTTTCCAGGACATTTGACCATCAGCAACCTTGACAAAAAGTTCAAAAGAGAATTATGCTTTTTTGTGTTCTAGCCCAAAATTTCATTTCTAATCACAAACACACTTACCTGTTATCAGAGAACTTTTTTTTTTTTTTGGGTCCGGTCGTGGGGCCTGAACTCTGGGCCTGAGCGCTGTCCCTCAGCTCTTCAGCTCAAGGCTATCGCTCTACCACTTGAGCCACAGCGCCACTTCCGGCTTTTTTCTTTTTTGCTTATGTGGTGCTGAGGAATCGAACCCAGGGCCTCAGGCATGCAAGGCAAGCGCTCTACCACTGAGCCATCTTCCCAGCCCTCAGAGAACTTTTGAAGTGGAGAAATAGAATCTATTCTTGAGCTACAGCCATGAATTCCTTTCTCCCTTTCATCCTTTACTATCACTTGTCCCTTTACCCATCTCTACACTATAAGGAAATATAAGGGAACCTGGGTAATAAAAGCAGGCCACAGCCAACAGACAAATCCTAAAGGATATCCAACAACATGTCTGTCATCCAAATTCTAATGCTTTTTCCTGGGCATGAATGAATGACACTGGTGACAAGGGTGAACCAGAGGGGCAGTAAAAACAAGGGATGGGCAGGGAAAAGCATGAAATCATCAACACTAACTCTGGGACAAAGGCAACAATCATCATACACAGAACCTACCACATACTGGGCACTAATGCACTCATGTTATTCAATTACATTGTTTAATCCTCATACCGTCTACTTGCTTTACACAGGAAGAAGCCAGCATACATGGGTAAAAGGCTAAGGTCACGCCATCATAAATAACAGAGCCCAGGTTTGAAAACAGGAAGTTTGGTTGCAAAGTTCACAACTTAACTTCTACTAGGAAGATTCACTTTGCCACTCTTTCCTCTTTCTGAATTCAAAATTGCCTTTATGGCAATTTTATGGTCTTGCCCTACACAAGATGAAACCAAAGGAAGAAATTCAGTCCTGAAGTCAATGAAGTCTGAAATGAAACAAAACAATACAGACATGCCACCCAGCCAAATGTCCATACCAGGTCTCAACAAGTCAGAATTAACTAATTTGGAAAACATTTTTCAAGTCTGTCAAAGAAAAACAGTAATGTTTTTATGTTATGTTACATTATGTTCATATATGTTTAAATAAATCAATATAAAATTCAAGATTTTAAGAAAAGATTCTTAAGAGAAAGCAAGTGTCTTTAACTTAATATCCAAAGTATAGTTGAACCCACAGTTGTTAAATTTCACAATACTAAAATCTCTCAACTAAATGCATTAAGAATATCCAATGTTAAAGAAGCATTAGTTCCCTATTATCTACTGTTCATGTATTCTACTTGTGGTCCTATCACTATTTGGTTTATAAATGAACCCAAAATCTGTTTTAATAACCACGTGCTCAAAAGACACATCAGTATTAGTTTAACTTATTCAGTATCTAATAGATAGACTAATCTCAGGAACAGGAACTATCAGTACCTTGCTCTCTCAAATATGCTTGAGGTCTGCTCTATTTTCCAGATAAGACATCAGCGTTAAGAAGAGGTTGAGATCTTACTTAAGATCACAAAGACAGTAAATGATGGAAGCTAGACTTGAACCCAATGCTAACTGACTGCAAAGCCCACACTGTTAGCACCCTACCCCCCATTTTCTTTTTCTTTTCTTTTTCTTTGATAGGATCTCAATATAAAGCCCAGTCTGGCCACAAATTAACTCTGTGGCCCTGAAACTTGTAAACCTTTTGCCTGCGAGCCAAAGTTTAGGATTACTGGCTGTGCCACTCCACTCAGCTCTATTCTGTATTTTCCATATTGTCTTGCAAAGAAACAAAAACAAACCAAAACAAAATCGCTTAGCAGAAATATATTGTCCAAAAAAACCCACCCATTTTTATATATTCAACATAATGATTTACTTTTACTCCATCATAAGACATTCATAAACTTTTTTAAATTTTTTATTGTAAAGATACTATATAGAGGGTTACAGTTACATGAGTAAGGTAATGAGTACACTTCCTATTGAGCATTGTTACCCCCTCCATTGTTTTCCCCCTACTATCCCTTCCCTTCTTTTTTTTTTTAATTGTGATTAAGTGATTACATAATTTCCCAAATTTCACAGTATTGTGGAATAATGATGCTCATTTAAAGTCACAAGTTCATTCTAACTTTCCTGGAGCAAATTGTCTATCACAGTCTATAACATATAACGGTGTACACATATATACACCATACA